TATATATATATATATATATATAAAATATGTATATTATATATATTTTAAATACATTTTATGTATTTAACTGATACCGGACTATACTAATAGGGGTATAAATATTGCAAAATAAACGTGGTCTTATTCTGCATTGCATTAGCAACATTAGGCGTGTTTCCATTACCCTTCAAATTGCATAAATTAAAATTGGAACAACACTTAATGGGAGAGTGCGGGAGCGGGCGACCTTAACCGTGCCCGAGCGCGTTTGACCCCCAAAGCCCGGTTCGTTTGACTAGTGTGATCGCTCTGTGCCGTGCTCAGGCATTGTTCGTTTAGCCGTCCCTGGCTCGGTTGGAAGAGGTGGGTCAGAGCGCGGTTCAGTTGGGCTCGGGCTCGGGCATGTAGTTGGGTTGGGCTCGGGCATGTAGTGCCGGAGCGCTGAACTTCTGATACGTTCAGCATGATTGTGTTAACATTTCTGAGCGGCAAAAGTGATCTGTAAAGCAATTTATTGTGAGAGGGCCGTGTGTTACCGCGTCCCAAACGACTGAAAATAATAAACCACAAAGTTAACAAAACGGAGAGGCTTCTCTGCTGTCTTCACGTGGTATCGGAAACTTCCTGTTTCCCACTTATGAAGTCGTGACTCGTGAGCGCTACATGTGAGCGCTGCTGCAGTCTTAGGCCCACCCCATGTGCTCTCATTGGTAGAGATGCGTGATGACACTCATGCGTTTCCATTACCCTTCAAATTGCGCAAATTGAAATTGCGAATTGAAAATACGCCTAATGGAAACGCGTCAATTTCGCAAAAACGGCCATATATCGCAAAAAAGTTTTTACGCTCACATGAGGTGGTTTTTCAGGCAATGCGATAAAGGAATAATTCGCAAAACTGCAATGGAAATGGCAGGGGCTTTCCTACCATTAATGCTTAGACAATTTACACTGCACATGTCTGCGGTGCAGTGTGGCTCTGATACGGCCACTGAAGTTGATCGCGGCCACAATGCTTGTGTTTATTCCAGAATCCAGCCGCGCCACGCACGTTTCTGAAGCGGCTCTCTGTGCTGCTTCTGTAAAGATACACGCATACGACTCCTTTCAATAAATATAGCCAAAATCCATCAAAATCCCACCAAAATCCATTGCCATGACTTATCGCGAGAGGCAAAAGGTTCCGTTTTAGTCGCATAACATTGGTTAATGGAAACGCCGTCATTTCGCAAATGCTTTTTTATCGACATTTATCAAGTTTTGCGCAAATCTGTAATGGAAACACGTCTAATGAATACTAAATTATCATGCTATTCACCTTATGCAACATGGAGGTAAGCTATTTTCAATGAATGTGTGACACTTCTGATTTATTAGCTGCTATGGCTAAATAACTAGAAGAATAACAGTAACAGTATGTACAGTAAATGGTAAAACTATTTGGGCTACAAACCAGTGTTTTTACCATTACGATAATAATAATAAAAAAAAAATGATATCAATTAACTGTTTGTAATGTCAAGCAGCGTAACTAAAAGTGGATGACCCTGGAAGCCTTGCACAAGTTAAAAATGGCTGCATCTGCTCTTACATTAAAAATAAAGCAGAAAAATAGTAAACATTATTAAAATCTTCAGGTTTAACCAGAAATTAGATTTTTTTTAAATGTATATTTATATTTATTTATTTACTTATTTATTTTTGCTTTTTGGTGAATAAAGCAGAGTGCTTTTTAATATCAGACATAATTACACTAACAGAACACATAGACAAATAAATCATAATAACAAAATGCCATTACCACTTTGCCCTAACGATAGAGTTGCTAATGTAAACACATGTAGGGATGAATGCATGTGTAAGTGGTGTGATTTGCAGACCAGCATGTGGCTTGCTTGACGGGTCTCAGATGATGCATTTTTGGTTTACATTCACCTTTGGAAAGTGGAAAATTTAGAAAGAGTACCAGACTGTTATCCATGCATCACCTTCTTTTAGAGAGGTTGCTGATTTGATTATGCAATTAGGCAGGTGGCTGATTAAAATCTTAACTAATAGATATCATGATTAGCTGTTAGCCCAGTTCAAAGCCGTTTATAGTCCAGCCATTCAGGATCTGCTTAATTCTGTATTTTTAAATAACTTCGCAATTTATTCCACAGCAGTTCTCTAATCAACAGTTTGTTTTTTGTTTGGTTACTATTGTGACTATAAAATGCAGTAAGGGTAATAGTGTTGTCTTTAATTACAAAATGATTCAAGCAGTTGCCATTATCTCACACCTTCAAAAGTGTCATCAATGTATCCTTTACTTGAAATGCTTTTCTAGGAACTCAGTAAAGACGGGTGTGACCTGTCTGTCTGCCTGCCTGCCACACTGTGATTAAGACATCACAGTAATCCATGTTTGCATTGCTGTCTGTATGCGAATTTGTGTGTGTGTGCGTCATGCCCCGGTGCCAAACACACAGAATTAAGTTCCTTTTTGACACCACTGGGAATCGCATTAACTCTATTCCCAATGGAGATATCGCAATACTTCCAAATAGCTCCAAAACACACCAAACAAATGGAAAAAAAAATAAATAATAATTCAATACAAAAACAATTACCATGTAATAATCTGATTTCTGCAGAAAACATTAGATGGGTGAAAATTCCAAACTCCCAATTTCCTCCTAGTCGCACTCTCTGGTGCCATGCCTGATTTCATCCACTAGAAAATCCTCTTCCTCCTCTCCTGTTCTGTTTTTTTCCCTCTCACCAAACTCTCGTTCTTTCTAGCATTCTCACTTTCCCTGCCTCTCCCTCTCCTCCCTTCCCTTTCTTCCCCTCTCTCTATCTCTCCCTGTCTCTGTCTCTCCATTGCTTGCTCAGAGAAGCAGCCCATGTTTACTTGCCCTTATCCAGCAGCCTAATCCCCGCAGCAGAGAAAGACTCCACTAAATAGGTGCTGGAGAAAAAAAAAGGCAAGGGGGGAAAGGCAGAGCCATTAAAGGAGAGTTTATCAGAGACGCTCAATCTGTTATCACTCCTGTCCCTCTGTCTCCCCCACCAGCCTGCCTCCCCCCACTGTCATAGAGCCACTGATTACAGCCTGCCGTGCAGCTCGCTTTTGGGTGTGCGAGTGTATGTGTGTGGCTCCTGTCCCCCGTGTGAGAGCAAGTGTGAGAAAGAAAGACAATTTTCTCTCAAAGCTTCAAGTGAGCCTGTATTTGTATGGCTTTTGACAAACTAGATGGGGAGAAACTCCTTAATGCTGTTTGTTTATTTTTGTGGCATGAGGGTTTTATCTTTTATTATTATTATTATAATAATAATTATTATTATATATTTGTTATTTCTGGCTGTGCATGTGTGAAAGAGAAGATGCTTGTCCCATGGTGATAAGCGTTTGTTATTTCGCAGGTCATGCTCATGCTGGCAAGAGGACCTTTTGTTTTGGAACTAAATTCATTAAATTAGAAAACAGAAAAAAGTCACTAATTGATAGTCATTTAATAATTGACTATAACCAACGATTAAAAATTCTGATCAATTCATCACGGTCTTCTAACTGTGATACAAAAAATGTGATATGTGCAATTATCAAATCACAAACGCTGCAATTTAATTAAAGGTGCAGTAGGAGATCTTGGAAAATGCTAACTTTAGCCTGATAGCACTGAAAGCAAACGTCCCACCCTCCCTACAATTACAGTCCAAAGCCACGCCTCCTGAACGCATTTACGCTCACAGGCCAAAATATCAGAGACAACATTACTACAATAGGCTACATCAGCGGTTCCCAATTCC